CACACACACACACACACACACACACACACACACACACACACACACACTCTGCCTCAATATGTTTGGGTTAGTTGGCAGTGAGTCACCCATCTTGCTCACTGAGGAGACTGGTGCCAGTTACGTGAATGATAGAGTGTGATGTGTTTGTGATGTTTGCAGTATGCTGTCTTTGCATTCACAATGACAAAGAGATAAAGTTCATGATAAACTTGTGTAAAGTACTTAACCTGCTAAAGGAATAGTCGAAACTAAGGGCTAAACACAACAACACCTGTTTTATGTAATGTTGGCCAATACAACATCGCTCCAAACTAAAGAAACAAAGATTGTGTGGATTTTAGTTGTGTCTGAATTATGAGTTTATCCACTTTATGGTGCCCTCAAAAAAATTCAACAATGCAATGAAAAATGTGTGTCCATGACATGTACGCCACTTTCGACCAACAATCCCACAATGCAATGTGCTGCATTTATGAATGCAAGAATTACCACTGTGAGCCCCTACATCTGTCAGCAATGATTCAAAAGTGTCCAAAATCTCAATGTACTGCTCACTATGGAGTAAAACAGTGAGTGTCTATTATATAGAGAGTAGCCATGAGTGAATCGAGGAGTTAACAACAGAAAAAAAACGTTGTCAGATGATGTTCATGTTGGCCTACATGACTGAAGATTGGTTTTATGGGTTCTTTAAACTTCAAAAAGCTGAATTTATTACAGCTTTATCACTGGATTGCAAAAGAGTTTCCGTTATTTGTGTGAATCCTCTGCACAAGGCTATGATAATTGCTATGAATGAGTTTTAAAGCTACGTAGCTTATCAACTGCAGTGTGTAGTGTAGCCTGTCCTTCATTGTGCATTTGTGTTTCTTTTTGAATTATTTCTTCGGGTTTGTTGTCGTATTTGTTTGCCTCTCAGCGTGTGTTCCTGCATGCGTTCTCCTTTAACCTCCCCAGCAGTGAGTGGGAGAGGTTAACATAACAGAACAGTGGCTGTCACTGCTATGGAGGACACTCTCTTTCGACACACCCACACACACACACACACTGCATGCAAGATAGAGAGAGACGGACTGACCGACAGAGTAAGAGATCTCCAGGAACAAACTCCAGCTGCCACCCCTTATCCAGAGCTGTCCGTCTCCAAAAAGAGCACACTGGTCTACATTACAATGACACTGAAATATACTGTACACTAGTATATAAGACTGCGTATCTACTTTAAGACAGCATAATGGCAGTGTCATATTGTGCAATACCACAATATTGCACAATATGACAATATGGGGAAAGTGTTTTGTATAAAGTTTTATGTTTATGTTTAACCTGCAGTGAATCAGGGCAGAGGTGAGTGGTTCGAAGTGAACGTCCTCGCCTATTACAGTAAAGTGAGGTCAGTCCCACCTTCTCCAGCATGTGACAGAAACTAGGCATCAGCTGTAATTTGTTCATACTCTCAAAGGAATAATTTTCTGACAGCATCATTATTTTGGGAAAGGAAGGTCACTCACCTGGTACACACAGCCATGTTGCAGAATTAGAAACAAGCAAAGTCCCATCATGCTTCTGAGCTGTAATTCACAAAATGTTTGTCTGTTCCTCCTTCCCTCCATATTTTGCTGAAGTAATTCAAAGAACTGTTTTACAGTGTACCCAGATGAAATGTCTTTGTGTGTCCCATTTGCATACAATATAAATATATTAGTTAATTATGTAGAGGAGGTGTTGAGAAAAACACTGAAAATAAACCTAGTTGGAAGTGCAATCATTTCTGGAGGCTATTTGTAGATTTTGTGTGTGTTTACGTGTGTATGTTTATGAAGATGTGTGTTCAAAAATAGCAGTTACCTCCTCTCTCCCATCTATCTTAGGTGTCTTATTTTACCTTGACCCAAAACCAAGTACCAGACTAACTGAAAAACATGCAAAAGTCTAATTGCTTTGAGGCTTTGATTCAAGCTTATTAATATTTTAAAATAGCCATTTTCAGTGTGTTCACATCCCATTGTTCTTGTAAAGCAACTTTAGGTTTATTTTGTTTCATTTCACTTTATTAAATGGCTAAAGATTTAATAAAGAATGAGTGCTCATAATTCTTATTCTGAAAATTTGCATTCATAATTTGTAGTAGAAACTAACTAGAAATTTAAGTTGCTAGACATTTAAGTGTGTGAGCAGGTCAAGTAAAGTGCTTTTGTAAAAGACTGCAGTTAGGTGTAGGCTGACTAATCAAGCGTCAAGAGAGGGATGAGAATTGAGTCTACAGGCCATTTCTCCCTTCTAAGAGGACCACGGACCATTTCTTACAATCCCTTTGTGGGCACAAAAAGGCATCATTCAGTGAAGAAACTGACAGAATTGCTGTGGCCTGCCACCTGGCCAACACCTCTCACTGCTGGGAACTTCATTAACAGATATGGATCTTAAGGCTCGAGGACTTGTTCCCAACAAACCCTTAACCTCATAGAACACCGGCCGTAGAGCCTTATCCTAGCCCCCTTTCCTGTTGTCTCTCTGCAGATCCTATCTATCGGAGTGAGACGTGCTATGTAGTGGCAGCTTAGCCATTCTTTTCACCTCTTCCATCCTCTGCCAATATGGATAGCAGCATGAGCCTCTGACATTCTGCTAACTTCAAAAAGATGCATTACGTCTTTGGCTGAAGCTTTATCAATATTATTGGCTCAATAGGAGGGGAAAAACAGGTGGACATTAGTGAGCTTGCTGCAAAAGACTATGCAAAGATGTGACAGTTGCTGTGCCAAACGGATAACACGAGAAAGAGAAAGAAATAAAGACGAGGGGAGATTATGAGTCTCCCTGAAACACAACCTATTTGTACGATATTGAGGGGTTTCAGTCAATGATTTTAAGTCAATTAGCACGAGTGATAAAAGGGAGGGGACAGAGGAAGGGAGATGGCAGCAGTTATAAGACATCTTCACAGCTCATTTGCAACCAGGCAACATACAGCCAAATTCAAAGCATATGACTGACTCAGCTGCTGGAGATAAGACGGCAGCCACCCCAGAGAACAGATTCATATTAACCCTACTGATGTTGTCAGGGAAGGACTATTGTCTGTGCCCTTGTTTCCAGCGATTAACACAATGGCCATTCCACTCCATCCCACAGCTTCTTCACCCTTGACACTGAAACAGCAAACCTGAATCGACTGAATGGTTGATAGCATTGTTTTTGAATCTTGACTTGCTTCCCCTTTCGATTATAATACTGAAGAGGAGGAGGAGGAAGAAAATAATAAGAAACAAAGAAGCCGTCAATGTTCTATGTGGCTGGTTATAAGGTACATTAAAGGATTTACAAACAGCCAATGGCCTCTTATGAAGGCGCTAGCGCAGCCAGAACCATGCTGCGCTGAGGAAATAATAAGAGTCTGCTCTTTTGCAACCCACACATACTGTAACAACCAAGAACACTCTCTTTTGTCAAAGCAAAGAGCAGCCATCACATTCTGGTGGTGATTGAATATTCAGCAGTGTATTGCGCTCGCATTTAGAAGAAAATGAAGTAACACTTGACATAGTCACTGGAGTTCCATCTGCTTGTTGAGGCCCACCTGTACTCACACACTGCCAGGTGCGCTGGCAGAAAACACTGACACATCTCCATCCATCCATTCAGCGCTGACGAAACATCCGTAAGGAAAATATCATCAGAGGAATTTCCTTTATGCCTGCAATATGTTATATGCCTTAACTTGTTTATATGTACAACACATCCTATTTAAATTGTAAACATTACATATATTTCAAAAAATAAAAATAAAAACTCCTGAGAAAATTGACTCCCACTCAACCTGCATTCCAGACTGTTACATAATTGCTGTCCCTGTTTTTATTTTACTGCACCAGAGTACCTGCTGTAATGTAGTGATCTTATTGTGAATGTCGAGAGAAAATATGTACATATACATAAAGTAAATGCCATTCAGTGCCTCACAGCGCATTATTAACTGACTCTTGATTGTACAGGAAGTTCAGCCTGGAGGTTTTAAATGACGCCTTGGTGTTCCTGTCAACTCGCCATGCTCCATAATTATCACAGGGGTCATACTGTAATTTCCTCTTTATCCCCAAAAAGCCTCAGCAGAAGCACTTTTGTATTGCGACTTAGACCTTTTAAATGACCAGTAGCCGGCTGGGTTGAAAAGTATTTGTCTTCATCAGCACTAAAGGAGGAGGAGGAGGAGTGGTGAGTGGTTGTATGAAGGGCAACAGCATAAGGTCAAAGGTAAGGCGTTTCAGTCACCACAGAATCTAAGCACACTTATTTATGGTCGCTGGTCTTTTAGCTGCATGACGTCAAGATAGTTCAGATTGTTCAGCAATGTACTGACATATACAGCATCTGCAAAAAAAAAAGATAATAAGAATCGGTCTGCTTTCCCATTATTGTGTGATATATTTAGATTGTATTATGAAAGCTTTGCTAGAGTAGTCTTGTGTCATATATACTGTTTATATACATTTTTTTTTGTTCACTTGATCAATGTTAGATTCTGATAGGAACTACAACCTCCAGGTAAGCATGTAAGGAAAAGAAACCCACAAACTGTAGAACTGTGGGATACATGTATTTTTTCCCCTTCACAGTCACTGAGAAATCAATGTTAAGAACTAAGCTGAGGCATCAAAGACCAACAGCCTATCTGACCTGCATAGAGCCCCACTGTGGGGTATAATGCAGCATTGTACACCAGTTACTTAAAGACCCATTCATGCAGACACTAAGTAAATGCATAGGACCGTAAGATGGGGGTTCGGGGTATAGGATACGATTTACAACACTGCCTCCAGCCTTTACAACTTACACACAAATGGAAATATATTCAGAGAGAAGAAAAAACATCAGATGAAAGTGTTTCTGATTAGAGAAATACAAACCAAAGGTTTTTTTTATTTTTCATAGCCTCCTTTGTCTCTCCATAAAAATAGTGTTGCTAAACTGCTAACTGTTAAAAGGAAAACAAAAAGAGTCATGTTTCAATGTAGTCCATGGAAAAGCCCCAGTATCAGACATTCATTTGTTTCACTTCAATCCTCTGTTTTCTTTCTCCAAAAGCAGAATGGTCAGCAAAGCTCTGTATCACTGCACCGCATGTCCATTCCTTTGAAAAAATGAGCATCGCAATGAGCCCTTGCAGAGACAAGTCAGGCAACTGCTGTAATGCATTATTAAATTAGCCCTAAACACTACACAAGCCATTAAGAAGCATGTCAAAACCTAACGGAAAAGCAATAACAGAAAATGCAACCAATAACAGAACAAAGTATTTGCAACAACTGTAATTAGCCTGCTCTTTGCCAGTTAAACCAGTGGGGAATCATGTGCACACTAAATAAACATGTTTAGATACACTACAACTAAGAAGCACTGGCACTGTCAAATAAATGCAGCTTAGCTCCAGCGAACAGAGGGTTAAACCTTAGCTGCAGAAATTCACTGCAGTCCAAAAGCATTTGGCTGATAGCTACTGAACAGCACATTCTATCTGTGCCATTACGTTGCTATCCTTGGACAAATGTTTCTGTCTATCTAGATTTTGCTTGTGTGTCTTTGTGTGTACCTAAGTCTGGAAATACCATTTTATTGCATATATTAGAATATTTGGCACAGTAAAAACTGGAGCTTACATTTGGGGCTGTATTTAGAAACTGGTGCCTGTATAAAGAGCTTTAACTGCATCCTAAATATGATCAAAAAACAAAGTAAATGCCTCTTTTCCTACAGTAGACAGAACCACCTTCTATTACCAATCACAAAAGCAATTCAGTATATTTGTCTTTTTTTAAATAGAAGTCACCAGTTATTAGAAAATAGTTCAAATTACTTTCTTTTCTGATATAATCTGCATTTCTCACCACTGCCTGACCGTAGTTTCATTTATATATATTTGTATTTTTTTCATATGTATATATGTATGTATAGGCATGTACAAGAAACAAAAATCTGTCTCTGTTTTGCACTTCTGTACAAAAGAAAGTTACCGTTTTGTTCTTTGTGCATTCTATTGCATGGACTGTTGAGCAGAGAGTTGGAGAGGAGAGGTTGGGGCTGAGTCAGAGATAAATCCAGAGGGAGCAATGCTCAGATTTGGGTCTCTTGAACCTTCTCCTTGCTATGAGTAGTCTTAATGATGTAGGGATCAGCAATGGTGCTGATGTGGCTGTGATGCTGTCTGACTGAGCGATGAAGAGAGTTGTTCTGGGTCCAGTGGGCTCCATAGCCCCCTTGGCGGGATGAGGAGGACACGTACCCAGGCTTAAAGGTGTTGCTGTTGTGTTCCACTAATGTAGGCAGTACCAACACTGTGTCATCAGAGCCACTAGATCCAGAGGTGGGTGGTGGAACAGGAGGAACTTCTTCCTCCATCTGTATGATTTCTATGGTCCTGGCTGCTGCCACAGTGCTCCTCTGTTGATGCCGCTTACGCAACTTATAGAATCCTATCAACAAGGCCGCTGCCAGCAAGGTAACAGCAACAAAACAGCCAATGATGATTTTGGTGGTTTTCATCACCTCATCCAGGCTGGCGGCTGGCCCACTAGGGACTCTGGCAGTGGGGATTGACACCTGCCTTGGAGTCTGAGTGTTTTGGAACAGCACAGTGGGTGTGGAGATGAAGACAGGCTGAAAGACAGAGGGTGAGGCAGGGATAGTAGGCTTGGGTTTAGGGGTTTCCTCCACTGTGGGCTCCAAAACTTCTACTGTTACAGTGGTAAAATAGGACAGATTAGACGTGTTGAGTTCAGCATTGCTGACGTTTAGGTAGGCCGAGGCATTGGAATTTCCCGCCATGTTGCTGACCATGCAGGTGTAGACCCCTGTGTCTGACGGGAGAACGTTGGAGAAGTTGAGTGTCCCGTCGTTAAGGACAGATATCCGTGGGTGAGCCGAGCCATGGGTCAATACAGTGCCATTGGGGAGAAGCCATCGGACTGAGCTCATTGCAGCTGTGCGACACTTTAGTTCTGCCACCCTCGCTGCAGAGATGTTCAGATCTCTAGGAGCATCAAGTATGAATGGTGCTGAACATTGAAAGGTGGCCTGATCAACTTCCACCAAGTACCGTCCCCTCATGTGGACCGGGGTGTGGCAGCGTCCACAGCAGGTGGAATTTGTGGGAATATATTCTCTGAGCCACCAGGAGAGCCACACTACCTCACAGTCACATCGCCAAGGGTTGTGGTGCAGGTGTAGCTCCACCAGGTACTGAAGAGGGGTGAAGAGGTTATGGGGGAGGGATGACAGGTTATTATGGGCTAAATTCAGCTCCACCAAGGCTGTGATGTCATCAAATGCGTTCCTCTCAATGGTAGTGATGGCAGAGTTCATAATCCACAGTTTACGTAGATTTTTAAGCCCACGGAAGGCCCCCGGCTTCAGTTCAGGGAAAAGATTCTCTGATATCTCTAGCTCCTCCAGTCCCGCCAGTGGTGAAAGATTAGGGAACTCTCTCAGGTTACACATCCCCAAGTTGAGATACTTGAGGTTTTGAAGTCCCTCAAATGCCCCATCAGAGATGTACTGCAACTTCCTCAGTTCTCCCAAGTCCAGTCTCATGAGGGAGGGGACACGGTTGAAGGCATAAGAGGGGATGCTCTCAATGGGATTGTTTCTTAGCCACAACTCTCTCAACTTTGACAGGTATTCAAAAGCTCCACTGGGTATGACTGTCAGTCTGTTGTCGAACAGCTCCAGGGTATTGAGGCTGGTCAGGCCATTGAAGGCCCCCACCTCAATCTGTCTGATTGCATTTCTGCCCAACTGCAGTACCTCCAGGTGATGCAGGTGCCTGAAGGTGTCTGCTTGTATGGTCTCTATGCTGTTTTCCATCAGGTTCAGGTACCTGGTATTGGCTGGGATGTTCGGGGGAACCCTAACCAGGCTTCGGCGGGTACATACTACCTTGCTGAGCTGGTTAGTGCAGGAGCACACACCTGGGCAGTTCTGTGGGTTAGCCGAGCCCAACGCAGGGCCTGTGGACTGGCACATACTGAGAGCAGGCACCATAAGGGAGAGCACGGCGAGCAGGGCTGCGTTCCAGGTAGGCTGCACACTAACCTGGCCCAGAGGACTCATGGTGTGGAGGGATCATTATTTTGCATGGTGGGGGGAGACGGCACACACCAGAGGACAGACCACCCTAGCCTGGCTGGAGCAACTCAAGGCTCCCAAGTTCCATCGACAGTGCAGGGAGATGCTACATCAAAATTGGTGTGTGTGTGTGTGTGTGTGTGTGTGGGAGAGAGAGAGAAGGGAAAAAAGAGGGACAGAGAGGGAGACAGAGTGTGAGAGATTAATACAAGAGACGTTGCAGAGGAAAAGCATTGCAGCAATGTAAGAAAAAGGTTGAACAACAGTATCAGTGACGTACCTCATTAGTTTGGAAGTAGTCCGTTTTGCCTCTTTCCAAATGTTAAAAGCAACAGTTATTCATTACGTTCATTTATAATTTCCTTCCATGGAAAGACATCAGATTGATGTTTTCTTGTTTCCCCTCTCTGAAAAAGTGAGGTGGCCCTCTATTAGCCAAGGGTACAAAATGGCTCCTGGTATTAAAGACTGAAAGCAGCATGAAAAGCACTCACAGGCAGAGGTAAGGCCATGAAGGCTTGGCGGGTGCCTGGATCCCTTCTGCCCCCTCTAACTGCCCCCATGCCAGGCTGCAGACTCCAACCTGCAGCTCCACTCTGGATAAATCACAATGATCCATAACGCAGTGAAACACGACAGAGGAGAAGAAGAGAAGTGACCAACTGAAATAAATAAAAATCCCCAGTCCTGTCAGCTCCTGATACATGTGTTGGCTCGCCGGCTGGTCGCCTGTTTGGTGGAGACCTCCCTCACTGTGACTTTGCCAAGGGCTAGTCGGTCGCTGATTAGCCCCGTTGTGACAGAGACTGAGAGACAGAAAAAGGCTAAAGAACTCCCGGCACAGTCATCCCCCTCTCCTCTCCTCCTCTGTGTTCCTTTTGCTTCCTCCCAACGTTGGACTGGCCCTGGTCAGAGCAGCTGCAGGCTGCCGTGTGCACAGTTAGCAGTAATCCGTCTATTCCTCCTGGGGGGAGGGGGGGTTGGGGGCTAGTGGGAGAGATGGTGGCGCTGGGTGGGGGGGGGGTGGAGAAGGAGATGCGCTGCACTGTTGGAGCTTCGCAAAAGGCTGTCAGAAGAGAGAGAGAGAGCCCTCTTGTCCTCTTCTGCAATGAGAGAATAGAGAGAGCAATGACGCTGGGAGGATGTGTGTGAAAGTGGGCTCCGTGTCTGTATCCAAAAACAGAGAAAGGTATTGAGGATTCTTCCCTTCACACGATGTTTGTCACCTGGGCTGTCTCCTGCAGTGGTCCTCTGCTTGCTTATTTGTTAGTTTTTCTCCATGGTTGAGGTAGTAAGTTGTGGCAGTTAGCCATGTGTGTGGCTGTCAGACTTGCGGCTGGCTGGTACTGCAGTAGCCAGAGTAAAACAGAGAGAGAGGGAAAGGGAGACAGAAAGAGCGAGATTGAGAGAGGAGAGAGAGAACCACTGACAGATCAAGAGCAAGGGAAAGATAGAGTGTGCAAAGGAAAGAGAGAGTGTGAGAGAGAGATAGATGAAGAGGAGGAGGCACGCGAGCGCTCAGGCAGCCCACCGTCACAGAAGAAGCAGGAGCAGCATTCCAATCCACATCTCTTCTTCTTGTTTATTCTCCAATCTCTCTCTTTTCTCTATTCCCCCCCTCTGTGTCGGTGTTGCAGGCAGCTAAGATGCTCGCTCTGCCCCCTCCCTTTGTCCTTCAGTGGGAACGTGAATGTACTGCTGACGCACTCCTCTCAGCTGCTCAGCCAGCCTCAGAGCAGTGCATTGGTTTGATGCAGTGTTCCTGTGTATTAACACATTCAACTTCCCCTCCTCCCGTATCCCTCCTTCTCCCTCCCCTCACTGTAACCATATTCTCCTCTCTTACTCGCTCTCTTTTTCTGTCTAGCTATTCACGTGCTCTCTCTGTCACGGTCTTTCTTTACTCTCACTCTCTAGATCACTTTACCTGTGCCGATCCTCCCCTCTCTGTTGCTCTCTGTCTCGCCCAAACTATTGCTAAAATGGAAAGCCTCCCATTCCAGTGTATCATACAGAGACAAGAGGTCAGACTTTCTACTCCAACTCTAGAGTGGTTTTGTGATCCGTCTCTCGGTTTCGTGAGCGCAGCATTGCGCCAGTGTTTTTTCCAGTGGAGATGCAGCTTGCTGCTTATCCTCACCTCTTGTAAGGCATAGGTTTGGTGAGTGTTTCCCTCACACATTATTACCAACAGACACAATTGTTTGTTGTATCGGATTTTCTTATTGTTTCAGTTGTAGAGGATTTAATATGTATGTATGTGAGTGTTTTGGAGGTGGTGGTGAGGGGGGGGGGTTGGGTCGGGGGGTCTGTGACATCAGAGACGACTGAAATGCTGACTGTGCTTCTCTGTGTCTGCTGGACAGTCTTCTCTTCAGGGAGGATAAAGATGAAAGAGATTGCACACAGTTATCTCTTAGAGAGACGAGAGAGAAAGACGGGGAGATAGAGGAAAAGAGACTTACCGAGAGAGTGGGGGAGAGGGATGGGGCCGGGTAGGAGGAGATATATCCACATCCTTGGTGAAATAGGGGAAAGGAACCTATAGAAGGACGAGAGGAATGAGATAAATAGGGATAGAGAAGAAGTATGAGGGAGACAGATGAGGGAACACACTTCATAGCCTCCTCAGGAAAATGGCTCAGAAAGGCAGAGAAAGAGAAGGGTGAGGAGTAGGAGTGAGGAATAGGAGGAGTGTTGCTAGTGTTGGATTAAGCATCATTTCAATGCAAGAGAAGGAGTCTCCCTCTCTGCCTTTGGTCAATGACCACATCGTCTCCCTCTTCTCCTCCCCCCTCCTCTCTCCAGTCACATATATATTTGCTATTAGGGTTGCGGTCAATTGAAAGAAAAAAATAGGACCCTGACAATAATAAACGTGCCACTGTCAATTCCCATTTTAATTTCAATTTATGAAATGAATAGGACAAGACTGGCATTTTGCATTCCACTAAAGATGGTATTGAAAAATTCATGCTCCATGTCCACATTGGACCATAAAGAGGATGAAGTGAAACTGAAGCTAATTGAAATTGCAAGGTACAGTTTAAAGAAGTAGAGCATGTGGACTAATGCACTTACTGTATATGATCCCTTGTTTGTGTTAACATATGAATATGAATAAAATATCATACTGAATAAATGATAATGCTCAGTATTATCTTCTGAATACTTCTGAATGAAGTAGTAAGAATGTTAACCTTTCTCTTTGCATTTTACCTACAACCATCCTGCTGCCTTCATGTCAGTTAAAAAGGTAGAATATCTTACTCCAGAAAACTGAAGGTGCTTGGACATGACACAGAAGTAATATAATAAGTCTTCTCTTTTAATCTTCAGCTGATCAAATTGATTGAGAGAATATGCTTTTTTTATTGTATTGTGTAAAGTTTAGTGTAATGGCCACTGTTTGCACACATTCATTTCATATTGCAAATGGGTTACATTTAGTCTCTCATGCCAGCATGACTTTGCAATAATGATGGTTATTTGAAATGTATTATTTTATCTTTTGCTTATCAACACAAAATAATGAGGATTGACAGGAATGTCAGAGACTGATGCCATCGTTAAAACCTTAGAAACCTTGGAAAATTTGGACTAAATGAAAACTACTTTTGCACATAAGACAAAGGTTGTGTGTGAAATGAAGGGTTTTGGCTTTGAATTAAGGAGGAATGCAGACTGACCATTGCCCTACAGTTTTGGGGGGAAATACCATTGTGTGAGCAACAAAGAGAATATCTGAAAACAAATACTTCACAGTTTCTTTGTTGAATCAAAGAATGACTTTGAGACGCCCAGACGGCTGAAATAACAGGTGAAAAACAAGAGGGAATGAAAAGAAAAAACTCGCAAACACTTGTGCTTTGAGAGTTAACATGCCAGGTAGACAAGAAACACGTGCCAATTACAGCTCATGTACCTATTCTATTCCAATGAGATATGCTGCTTTAGAGTGATGAATGGAGGAGAGGAAGACAGAATGAGAGGAAGAGCATGGTGGAGGGGTGAGGGAAGGGTGAAAGCGATATAACTATTAGCTAAGGTGGTGCAGCAGGGTTGGTCAGATAATTGATGGCCATGGTTGTAGCTGCTGTGTTAATGCTATTACAGGGGGCATGAGCATGGAAAGGTCAGTTAGCACACAGAATATATGACGTGTCCTCCTGCTGTCTTTATGGCTGTCTCTCTCTCTTCATGTCTTTTTTATCTTCTGTCCTTGTTTCTCTCTCAAGGATCCATAGTAAGGAATATCAGCCAGAGCCTCCGTGTTCCAGTTCTCCTTTGAATGTGTGAAATGAGGTTCGGGGTAAAGATTTATTGCCATGTGAAAATGAATATATAGCGTGTGGTAAATCATAAGGGGTTTTATGGAATTACTCCATAGTATGATATAGCATCTTGTGTTATAGTGTGTCAATTCCCCAACATAAATAAATCTTTAAATTATGTCCTCCTATGTCATATATTATGAGCTGGGTGGGTTATCTGTTAAACTAATTTCTCTGACTTTTTTTCCCTACTGATCATGTAGAGCACCATAGCATTTACTTAAAACTACATACATATATATGTAATTGTCATTATTCTGTTAATGGACAACCTCAATTGCTTGACAAGGATATAGAGCAGTCAGCCGCTTACTTTTAATAAAACCGCATGGTGTATGCTGTTCAACAATTCACTTACGCATGAGTCCATTTTAGTAGCATTTACTGTAAAAGCTGATCACAACCCTTCCTGTATGCTTAGTTTTCTCTTGTGGCACATCATCTGTAGTTTTAATGCAATAAGTATTGCAGTTGAACTAACTTCCCAAAGAGTTCAAAATATTACAAAAATATTAAGTCTAAATATCTTCTTTGCAAAAAAGTTTTAAGAAACTACAGAACCTAAAAATATTGATAAGAGCTGAACAGATATGGACATGCCCACATTAAATAATTTGATTTACTGTAAGCTGACATAATTGTTACCAAACAGAGCAACACACAGCACAGAAAATAATACAAACATATTTTAACCATCCAAGCAACTCAATGAGTGCCTTTGTTGCCTTCAGTACATGGTTGAATAAACTTAATCAGATCAAATGTGGAACTACGCCTTTAACTGTTCAATCTGCTGGACCTGTTTAAAGCATATGTGGATTCAGGGGATCAAGCCTTTGATTCAGGACACTGAGTGTGGCCCAAACCCTCTGCCCCACTGCAACAGCTGTCAAACTTAAAACTCATTCTGTTACTCTGTCATGCTGACAGGCAAGCTATTCTACTTCCTTGGAAAATAATCTCAACATGCATTATACATTTTCCCCGAAAGAGGCAAAAATGACATGACATTTAAGGCAGAAAATGCTCTTAACTGCTGAGGGGTTGAGGGTGTGGGTCAATACCGTGGATTGAGGGGGCCGGTGCTAAACATTTGTGGCCAAAATGCAACGTGGTGTTGGAAAGAGTGAGACAGTTGGTCAGGTCAATACTGAGCGAGTGACATCCTGCCCTACAAAGCTGCGTCAGAGCGGAAATTGAATGTTGCAGGAAGTTAAATCTACATGCTGATAAGTGTGTGTCTGTGTGTCCCAATTAGCCTGTGTGGGCTGTTAGCATCAATGAGGGTTCAATGTGTCTTACCAATCGTTTGTAGTGACTCTGTTGCTTTTTAGGTCTGCTGCTCTCACGGTAGATGGCCCATAATTTACACACACTACTTTAACCTTTTCTGACACTCTTACTGCTGAATGCTGAGTTTTGAAACAGCGTGGTGACTGGTAGCAGCTGTTCCTCCTGAAGTGAGTGAGGGTTAAAAGCTGCAGACAGCAACTGATAGCTGACCCTGCGGTCACATATTCTATGGAGCTGTAAGGGTCAAGACTCTCATAGGCAGAAACTAATAGTGATACTGCCAGCTGCTGAAGCTAGCACTACCACAGTCACATTATGATCAGCCCCGCCTGAAAATGATAATAGCACTCTTGCAGCTATTCAGCTGCAGAGTAGACAAAACAACATTGCTTAGTTACTGTTAGTGACTGCTTCACCAATGCAGCTTCACCTCGTTCTGTAGTTAGAACTGGCGGATCTAATTAGCTGCTAGCATTAGCCATTACCTTGCCTTAGCAACTGCTCGATGTTGGCCCCTGTGGATCCCTCGCCACTCAGCCTGTGCTTAGTGTGGCAGGTCAGCAAAGTGCTGGAGCAGCATTTGGCCTGAGAATAGAGGAGTGGATGATGTGAGTGTGAGAGAGAGAGAGAGCGAGAGAGAGAAGACCGGTGGAAGCAGATCGATGTGGCCTGTATTCATTAACCCTCGCTCACGGCTCCCTTCCCTCCCCAATCACAACCCCGCCATTTTAGGACGGCAGGAGGTGATTTATTAGCTGTCCTGGCTCAGTCAGCACCATCGACCCACAGTCTGAGGAGAGTTGACTCACACCAGGATATACCGATTGCCTCAATGTGGGCTGAACTCACTCAGTAATCCGACACCATTCAGAGTGGAACCATGCTGGAGAAAGCAGGATGATCAGCATACATTTACCAGCGTGTGGTGGGTATTGTTTTCACCTTAAGTGAGTCTGTTTGTGTCATCAAGGTAAAAAGTCCTGAGGACACTTACTGTAGCGGGAACGGTGCCGTCATTAAACTCTACAGGTGTTTAGTTGAGATCAAAATGAGGGCCTAGATTGAAGATGGGTGCGGTCTGAGCAAGGGTGTCGGAAGTGGGGAGTG